ATATATACGTACAGACATTTATTAAGACAGACATGCATATCGACCGGACATAATAACCTCACAAATATCAACCAATAATAGGATAATACATTGTGCAGTGTAATAAATACATTAAGACATATTTACTCATCCCATCAATCAGCCGATGACGACGACGATGATGATGATGATGATGAAGATGATGGTGATGATGATTGGAAAAACTATTTTCGAATCCCTCTACCCCATTAAAAAAAACCAAACCCAAAATACATCGATCAACTAACATATTCTTCCATTGCTTTCTTTCTTTTCATCCTCATCTTCATCTTCTTCTTCTTCATCATCTTCTTCCTCACCGGCTAACTTTTCAATGAAGAAAAATGACAGCAGACCAACCAGAAACCAGGTGCCAATGTTTCTATATCCCACCATCTTCCCACCATCTGTTATGTTCAGTTGGGTTTTATTGGGTTGTGTGTCGTGTATGTGTGTGTGTGCGTGCGTGCGTGTGTGTGTAGGTGTCATCATCCTCCCCATCACCATCATCAGTTTGGTTAGGTGAATATGTGTGTGTGTGTGTGTGTGTGTGTGTGTGTGTGTGTGTGCGTGCGTGCGTGCATGTGTGCGTGCATGTGTGCGTGTATGTAAGTGTGTGTATGTATGCGTGTGTGTATGTGTGTGTGCACGTGTGTGTGTAGGTAGGTGCCATCAACATCTGCCATCATCATTCCTAACAGTTCTCAGCATGGGCCCAGGCTTCAGGAAGAAGGTGCAGGAAGACATCCCCCAGTAGACCCCCGACTGCAAAACTTAGCAACATGTTCAACCTCTTTGTCGTTGCTTTGGTGGTGTTTGTTGTGTGTGTATGCGTTTGTCTGTGTGTGTTTATGTGTCTGTGTGTATGTGTTTATGTGTGTTTGTGTGTCTGTGTGTGTTTGTGTGTGTGTGTGTGTGTGAATAGCAAAAAATCATCATGATTGTTATCATTGATATCATCATCATTAACTAACATTATTGTGGGATGGTTTTATTGAGTGTGGTACTACTGCTATTACATCATCATCATCATCATCATCAGAAATATCAAAAATATCATCATCACCATCACCATCATATAAAAATACAAAATAATCTGACTTGAATTAATGTGTAACATTATTACTAAATGTGAAATAAATAAATTTTAATAAATTAAAATTTAAAAAAATAAATTAACTAATAAATAAATAATCAAATGACCTTTACTCTTGAGTAATCCTCCACAATTCATGGGAATAACGAGAAGTGGAAACAAACCAGTCATCCCAACCAATCCAGAAGAGATGGAAGAATATAACCAGATCCTTCTAGAATGGCCCAGAACGATCCCATCCAGCCATTCCGACCAGCTGTTTGCCGGATCAGAGAGTTTTGAGTCAGTTGGCGAATTAGGTGAATCATGCCCAGTAAATACTTTCGATTTTGAGTCAGGAGTTTCTTGGTTAATTAGTTTGGGGTTTAGTTCCAGTTCTAAATCGTCCACATTACGGAATCTATGTTTAAATGTTTGCTGGAGTGATCTAGCTCGGTGAATTTCACATTCTACCGGATTAAAAGTCACGAAGGTTAGTAGGATTAGTGTCACTAAAATGTAACAGCTGTTTTCATGCTTGAGAGTCCACATTGTTGCTGATAAGATTTTTTTAAGACTCTTAATTTTTTGTGAAAATTTGAGACTTTTAACTAACAATTATTAATTTTTTTATGTTCTATATCGTCGATTTTTTAAATTTGAAACCTTTTCTCGGTTAGTTTAGGTAGTTTTTCACTTGATAAAAAAAATTAAAACGTAAACAAACCACCATATCGGTTTCAAATTCCACATAGAAGAAATGTGTAAAAGTTACTAAGATAAAAAATTAATATATGTTCACAAGAATTGAAATAAATACCATAAACAGACGTAGATTCAGGATGACATATGTCATTATCATATATATATATATATATATATATATATATATATATATAGATTATATTCTATATATATAGTCATTAAATTTTTTATTCTAGCTTTGCCAGCCAACAGAAACAAAGTTGTACATTTTCCAAACCTCCATTATAACTAGATACTACTGGCAACGAATGTATATGATGTCGTTTGTGTCTATAATTGGAACAATGAGATAAGGCAATGATAATAATACTATTAACAACTAATTCTCAACAAATATGTTGGCTAATCATCACTGAGTAACAATAATTTCATACGTTTTCAATTAGAATGTGGAATATTTATTCATAATTCTATACTTGTTTTATACAGTTTTAACTTGTTTTAACTTCAACACGGTAACTGTCCGTAACAAATTAGTACCAGGAATAAATAAGTGCCTAGTGGCCACAAAATGTTCATAAATTAAAATGACCGAAAGGATTAATCGTAGACTAAGACAAATGTCTCTGATTACTGACTAACCATGGATCTATCCATATATCTATCTATATCCAATATATCTATCTATATCCAATATATCTATCTATATCCAATATATCTATCTATCTTTATATATATATATATATATATATTATATATATATATATATATAGAGAGAGAGAGAGAGAGAGAGAGATCGAAAGAGAGAGAGAGAGAGACAGACAGACAGACAGACAGACAAACAGAGATAGATATCCATGGGTCTTAAACGTACTTGCTCTTAACAGTTCAATACTCACCACAAGACATTCTACGGAACTTGGGCGTCTTATTCCTTTTCAAAAGTGACATCCAACGAAACACACACACACAGAGACAGAGAGATAAAAGTTCATACTTTAACTGAATCCACGTTCAAGGTTCACAAATTCTTATAGCTAAGAATTGATTCTATTGGTGAAAAAAACAGACGTACCTCAACACATATCGAATACAATACAATAAAAAGTCTCAAATCAACCTGATGAACCACCAAACGAAATACTTCCTACAGATCTACAAAAAATATGATTAAACTACAAGACAAAAACATTTTTTGTTCAACCTATGAGTTTAATTTTAACAAGTTATCCTGACTGAATAGAAAAATAAACTCTGACGGCTTTTCCCGTCATAAAAATCTGTGTGTGTGTGCGTGTGTGTACGTGTGATTTTTATACTTTGATCAAACCAATAACAATGTAATGATGAATCTATATTATAACACAATTTCCAAGATATTTTATTACAGACGACGCATAATAGCTAGTACTGATTTAACAAAATAAAACGTGTGTGTACGTGTGTGTGTGTGTGTGTGTGTGTGTGTGTGTGTGTGTGTGTGTGTGTGTGTGCGTGAATGTGTGTGTGTAAGCTTTAACATAAATCGAATCAAAAAAATTATGAATGTAAAGTGTCTTTATCAGAAATTGTTAACAACAAAATGATAAGTTGATAGACTGAATAAACGAACGAACGAATGAATAAAAGAATGAATGAAAGATACTTTATCATATGATCAAGTGATATCATGGACATATATATCATAGATATATATATCATAGATATATATATCCATGAGTGATATACATCTTCTAAAAACATTAAAAAATAGCTAGATAAATGAAGATTGTATATATCTAACATCAGAATATATTCAATTGAAAAAATAAATTTGTATCTGTAGGCATATAATTCACGGGCCACAAAAGATATATGAAATTTTAGGTTAGGAATCGAACTATAGTAAATAAACATAACCGTTTGACCATGGATATTATATCCGTGCGTGTGATAGACTTTGACGTCATCTTAATTTTGTTTTTAGCTTATGTAGGGCACAGATAGGTCCGTGACGTAATCACTGCTTCAACTTCCGGTAAAGTTCGGGTTATGAATGGTCCCAAAAAACGATTTTCCAAAAAAAATAATTTGAAAAAATCACAATTGATTGGAAAAAGGTAATACCAACATTATCATTGTTATTTCTGATATTATTATTATTACTAATTAATTAATTAAAATTCATCTAAAAATAAAATGAAAAAAAAACATTCAAAATGATAATTTCTCCAATAATTTACACCCAACTATACAAACATGAGAAACTGAACTATAGCTCCATGACCTTAACCTTTATCTTGACCTATAACGGTTGTATGACGTCACAGCCACGTCACTGATGTTCAAGTTTATGGTAAAGTTTATAATGGTATGAATGCGATGGGGTGATTGATAAAAAATTTTGACTTTAGAGAAGTAACAGCCCCAAGCTAACCCCTTGCTTACCCCTCTAACAATAATAATAATAATAACAACAATAATAATAATAATACTTATAAAAGCAATAATAAAGATGATGTAATACTGACGAATAGTGAAATTTTGGGAATTATGCTGAATGTAAATTGCCTGAAATTTATATTTAATATTGATTGATTGATTGATTGATTGATTGATTGATTGATTGATTGATTGATTGATTGATTGATTGATTGATTGATTGATTGATTGACTGATATAACTGACAAATAGATAAATTAAATTATTAATATGATTGGTCGGTTATATTATTTATTATTGATTAAGCTGAAGAATGTATCAAAAGATTTGAACAAATGAATAAAAAAATTAATAACAACAACAACCACAACAACAACAACCATAACAACAACAACAACAACCACAAAAACAACAACAACAACAATAATACCAATGATAATTTCTAATAAATCAAGTCAAGAAACATCCTTGCATAAAGCTACTCAGTACTATAAATTAATTATTGCTCTATACTTATCACTAAGACACACACAAACACACACACACATATATATATAAATATATATTCATATATATATATATAATATATAATTTATATACAAATGTATATTATGGATTATGTGTGTATGATAAGAAATGTACTTGAGTATATTACATATCATATCGTGAAGAATTAAATACAAATAATAATAATAACAATAATAATAATAATAATAAATAATAATAATAATTGCAGATAATAAAAAATGATAATTAATAACAATAATAATAATAATCCTATTTATAGACCCTTGTTGAAGTAGAGATACTTGACACCCTCCCTACCTCTCAGTCTCTCTCTTATCTCATCCTCCACTTTATCCACTGATATGGAGCTGAGAGAGTGAATGAGCGAGCGAGTGAGTGAGCGAGTGAGTGAGTGAGTGAGTGAGTGAACGAACGAACGAAAGAACGAATGAATGAATGAATGAATGAATGGATGAAATGAATGAATAGTTGATAAGTTGAACGAAGACAAAACAAACAAATGAACGAGCCAACAATCGATCAAGCAGACAAAGTAGCCATCCTTAATGAATGAATTGTGAAAAGAAAAAACGAACGAACAAATGAATTAATGCATGGAAGAACGAACGAACATACAAACATACAAACAAACAAACAAACGAAAAAACAAACGAACGAATGAATGAAAACAAACACCCAATACAAATTTTGAAGAACCTTTTCTGGGGAAAGAGCGCGCAAAACATTGGTGTCGCAAAGACCAAACTGGATATATAAATAATAATAATATTAACAATAATAATAATAATAATTACAACAATAATTATCACCACTAAATAATGCCATAATAAAATGCAAGCATATGATATGATATCAACTCGACACTACTAAGACAACATTTTAAAATTTCTAAGCTGCTAACTGGACAACTTAGGAGTTAATTATTATTATTATAATATTAATATTATTGTTATAATTATTATCTTATTATTATTATTCATCATAATTATTATTTTTTTGTAAAATAAAAAAATGCTAGCCAGAATCCGACGAGACCAATCTGTATTGGGGCAGCGAGCATGGGGTATTTCTATTTCGAGTAAAAATTTAAATCATAAAAATCAGACTAACCATAAATTGTTATTTTTATTCCTTCTTATTCACTGGTTCGATCGCTCTGTCATTCATTCATTCATTCATTCATCAAAATGAATTACTTTCAGTAGTGTTTTATCCAGTCTAGCCATTAGCAGTGGTGGGAAAACTATGAAATAAATATTAAATTTTTAAAAAATCATCATCGTCTTCAACACCATCATCACCATCCTCATCATCCTCATCAACCATCATTATCATCATCGAAATCATCATCACTAAACAAACAAACAAAAAAGCAAATGTACGTTCACGCAAACAAACAAACAAGCAAACACAGGTACACACAAACAAACAAGCAAAAACGAATGAACACACCTACAAGCACATACAACATCAGACCATCACCACGTACTCATTCCAGGAGATGCCATCAGGATCCTTGATAGAGTTACCTGGATGATTGCCTTGCGAGCTGCAGCTTTCGACTCGCCAACTCTCTCGCCATCTTCCGTCAGAACGGGAATTCCCTCAAACAATTCCCTAAAATTAGGGAGAGGTGGATAATTTTACATTAGCAGTGCTTTTTTCTTCCTCATCATAGTCATCATCTTCGTCATCATCACCACCAACCTATTCCTCATGCACGGGATGTTGATGGCGTTTGAAGAGGCCACGGCAATGAATGGAACGTACCTCCCTACTAACGGATGCATGGTCTGTGTAGTAGTAGTAGTAGTAGTTGTTGTTGTTGTAGTAGCAGCAGCGGCAGCAGTAGCAGTAGTAGTAAAAGTAGTAGTAGTAGTAGTTGTTGTTGTTGTTGTTGTTGTTGTAGTAGTAGCAGTAGCAGCAGCGGCAGCAGTAGTTGTAGTAGTAGTAGTAGCAGTAGTAGTAGTAGCAGCAGCAGCAGTGGTAACAGTAATAGTGGTAGTAGTAGTAGTAGTAGTAGTAGTAGTAGTAGTAGTAGTAGTAGTAGAAATAGTAATAGTACTACTACTAGATTACTACAACTAGATTACAACTAGTAGTAGTAGTTGTAGTAGCAGCAGTAGCATCATCATCAACACCATCCTCATCATCACCATCATCGTCATCAACCTTCACGGCTTTATTGAAAAAAAGTGCGGCCGAGAGAGCGCCGCCAGTGGCCGCCACATACGAAACTAATAGCGTCCTGTGGTCGTGGTGGCGATAATGATGACAATGATGATGATGAAAACAACGTCAACAAACATCACATCTAAACCTACAACAACAACAACAACACAACAACAGCAACAACAACAACAACGACGAACTTAATTGAGATGGGCGAATCGCCGCTTCTATTCGTGTAGTTGACGACAGCGTTGAACGACTGATTGAACCACTGCCAGAAAATGACAGCTGGCGTCGATCTGATTGCGTCATCATCGTCGTCATCGTCATCATCATCCTTATCATCATCATCATACATGCTGCCATCACTAATGAGATACAAACACCTTATTATGTTTATTGATATTTTAGAATCGTTTGATATATATATCTATATATATCTGTCTAACTATATATATCTATATATCATATTGAAACATCGTTATCATCATCATCGTCGTTGCTGTAATCATCATCAGTAGCAGCAGCAACAGACAGCAACAAAAAATGTTGCTAACTTATAAAACGTCATCATGCAACCAACAATGGTCATGTTCATGGGAACTTGAGCTGACATTCGGCCAATTAGAATCATCTTTTCACCTATTTGTATGTGCGTATGTATGTGTTTGTATATCTATGTGTGTGTGGGTGTATTTTTATATATGTATGTATGTGTATTTGTGTGTTTGTAAATATGTATGTTGGGTGTATGTGTGTGTTTGTTTGTATGTTTTTGTATGTATGTATGTGTATGTCCGTTTGTATATGTTTGTTGTTGACAATGCGACAGCGAATCATAGATAAACCAGTATCAGGATGGAAAGCCGAATCGTAAATATTTTTCGCCCTCCATAATTCGTTCAACGTCAGACCTTCTGGTTCTTTGCCCTGTCTGGTAATGATAATGATGATGATGTTGGCAATGATACTGATGATAATGATAATGGTACTGATGATGGCAATGATGATAATGATGACAGACATGCTGGCCTCCCAAACGACCAGCCAACCAACCTATAGAGCTGCACCAATTTCCTAGATTTCTCTAGCTCGGTGTCACTGACAAATAGATTCAGAGGATTTGTGGTGATGAAAAAGTGTTTAGCCCGACCGAAGTACGTGTTCTGGTCATAACGCGGTTCATCTATGTTCACCCTCTGCTTGGGGTCCAGAGTTGCCATCTTCACTTACGTTACGTCAGTAAGGGTAGAGCCCTATTTGATGATTAATGTCGTGAGAGAGAGTGTGAGAAATAGAGAGAAAGAAAGAGTAAAAAAGCAAATGAACAAAACGTTAAAGAAGGAGAATATTTCAGAAAAACTGAATAAAGAAAAATGAAAATTAGAAAAAGAGAGAGAAAAACAGACAAACAAAGACAGGCAGAGACCAAGAGAGACAATAAAGTAAAATAATGGGTCAAAAACTAGAAAAAAGACTTGAAAAAGAAAGAGAAAATGAGAGAAAGTGAGAGAAAGAGAGAGAGAGAGAGAGAGAGAGAGAGAGAGAGAGAGAGAGAGAGAGAATTAAGATGTCATTGTTAAGTTGAAACATGTGCTTGATGATGAGACGGTGACAATCACACCAAAAAAAAGATAAGATTAGAGAACTGATAGTCTGATAATAATAATGATAACAATAGCTAGAAAAAGAACAAAAACAATAATTATAATTAATATATAAGTAAATTAAATAAATTAAACATAAAAATACCAAAAAATGTTTTTAACTATCTTTTTGATGTTGTGGTTTGGTTACAGAGTTCAAACTACAAAGTTTAAATGAAACATTTACTACCTCTCATAAGAAGATAAAAATAGTTGGAATAATAAATGATAATAAATAAAAATAATACTAGCAAAGAAGAAAATAGAAAAAAATATAGAAAATTCTAAGCTACACTTAAAATTAAGTCTTAATTAATAATGTTATAATATTAAAAACAATGTATTTTAATTTATAATCAGATAATACCTAACTAACTTCTAACAGACATATTATTTTATCTATATTATATTAATTCTTTAATAACTAATTAAATTAGACATTAGTGTCAAATAATTATCTAATTAATAAATTGGAAAAATTTCACAATAAAAAAAAATTGAAAAAAAAAAAATAAAAACAAAATTGAAAAATAGACTAGAATTCTACAAAAACTATTATAAAAAGTTAAAAAATAATTTTGTAATGAAATTTTATTTGAGCATTTAAAATTATTTCAAAAAAGTTAACATACTTACTAAATTACTACAAAATATTTTGGTCTTTTTGTAATTTTTTTGTATATTTTTGCAAATCCAAAAAAATAATTTTTTCTTTTTTTGCAAAAAAGCAATTAAAATTTAATCAATATATATATATATATAATAAAAAAAACATTTAATAAATATACTATTTATTTATATTTTATATAATATCACGATTGAAAATTAATTTGTTTAATAAAATAAAAGAAGATTTAATAAAGGAAAAAATTTAAATCCCAACACATAAATGAACTAAAAGTGAAGTGAGTTTTAAACCCTGAAAATGAGTTCACCTTTATACTTTGGTATTTAAAAACTCGTCAATACGGACTTGAAAACATGTTTTTGTGAACAATTTGCGTTGGGAACAATTGCCTAAATGATATATGTGTGTATCTAGATATGTATAGAATACGCATACACTTGTTCATTCATTAATATATATATATATATATATATATATCTTGTTGTTTTTGATCATTTATTCAATCATCAAGTCATTCATTAGACTTTTTAATCAGTCATTCGTCATTTAATTGATTATTTCATTCATTTAATGCTTAAGTAATCATTTGTCTATCCATTTGTCTATTCGTGCATTTATCCATGGAATTATGCATCTATCCGTTACATTAGTAGTACCTTTATACAAAAAAGGAGATCGAAGTGAACCGTTCAATTACAGACCAGTCAGCTAAACAAGCATTGTATTTAAAGTACTAAAGAAATTATTCAAAAGCCGAATCATATAACACTTATTAAATGATAATATAATTGGTTAGAGCCCACACGGTTTTATAAAAGAAAGATCATGTCCAACAAATCTGCTGGAGTTTTTTGAAAAGGCTCATGCCAACTTCGATAGGGGTAAAGCCATAAAGCCATAAACGTAGTATATTTGGACTTGCCAAGGCATTTGATAAAGTGTCGCATAAGTGATTACGCATAAAACTAGAAGAGGCAGCAATAGAAGAAAACTTAGTTTATTGGTAAACTAATTGGTTGACCCGGAGAAGGCAAAAAGTGGGCATCGAAGGAAACTATTCGAACTGGGTGGATGTTACAAGTGGTGTACCTTCATTGCAATATATATGAAAAATACATGTGTAAATAAACGTGATAGCTAAATTTTTTTAATCGTTTACCAGCTAGGTCAAAAAAATGAAGGAATTAATAAGAATTAATGGAATCCACTGCTACGTTAGCTGTATATTACAAAGCAATACATTATAAATAGGTAGTTGTATTTATATTCACAATTCAGTATATAATTAGAAATTTTATAATAAGAATTGAGCTATAAAACTGATGTTTAAAAGTAAATCATTTTTTCATCATGTTTAGCAAGCATGTGCGTCTGTTTACATTTTTTTTATCCGATCCGCAATTTAGTTTATTTTCAGTGCTAATTTCCAGAGAAAACATTAATTTAAATTAATTGTTAATTATATTAAAGCTGAATTTATTTAATCCGGGACACACACAATAGGATGGGGAAGCTGGATGCAAATCGTTTCAGAACTACCACAAACGAGGAATTCAGAGTACTAAAATCGGTATTTTCTGTTAATTTTAGTTATTTTCAACTTTTATTTTTAGTTAATAATGATGATGAATATTCATTATATTTTATTTTTAAATCAACATTTTATTCATTTTTATTATTAAACTATTAATACTCTTTCTATCTCATTCCCACATTTACAAAAATAAATTCAAAATTACAATAACACACTTATCTACCCCCCACCACAACTTAAATATTAATTATAGGTCGAGATGGGACAGAAAAATACCTTTGAGTACGTGCCCGAACACCTGATCGAAAAAATTGCCAACCTAAAGCACCGTGGATGTCCGAGAATTCTCTATAACCTCTCTATGCATTCCCTACTTGCCTATAATAAGAGCAAAGATGGAGTAGCATGTTAGAATTTATTTATCTTTGTTTCCATAATTTGGTAAACTCTATGCCAAAATGCTCCTATATTAGTTTGTTTATATTTAAAAAGTGAATTTAATTATTATTTATAAGTAAATTTACTAATTCAAAATGTAGATCTTTATCTTCTCTACTTGCTTTTATGACTACAGTATTTTGCAGTTTTTTTGGCCACAATAAAAATATGCTTAGATATCGTGGTAAAATTACATTTTTAAAAAAAAACCACCCTCAAACCATTGTATTGTAGTTATTATTATTATTATATTTAATTATTATTATTATAATTATGCTTATAATAATTATGCTGAAGCAAGTGCAAAAGAGGGAATGACCTTTAACCTTTTAACCATTATGCACCCTAGCATTCAGGCTTACAAGACAGGGCTTCAACTTTCTAGCCCTGAGAGAGCTAACCAACAGTAAGGTCATCAAGTCACTGGGGAGTGTTATTGGTGTGGGGAAAGAGTCAGGTTACTATTGGTAGTAGTAGTAGTAGTATCTTCTGTAGCCTCAGTAGTAGTTGTAGTAGGTTCTGTAATAGTGACAATATTATAGTGTATATATTATATATGAAAGTAATAGTGTAATATTAGTTTTACAAGTAGTTGTCTAGTATTTCATTTATTATTACTATTAATTGTTATTATTATTATTTATTTCAGAAGTTTACAGTGTTGAAGGGGAAGAGGACAGTCTCCTATGCATTAAGTTCCACATGTGAGAATATAATAATAATAATAATAATAATAATAATAATAATAATAATAATAATAATAATAATTATGATAATACAAATATAAATATAAATTATGATTATAATAATGGTGGTAATAAAATTTTTGTTATTGATTTTAATTTTAAAGTCTGGGCGAGCAGTCATTTAGGCAGGTTAAAAAGAAGAGAGATTTCCATAAGAGGAATGACTTTTTGTCTCGATTTGAACTTTCAAGGTCAATTAGTTGATTGGCTGATTGATTCCATGATTGATTGTATAATTGAATGGTTGATTGGATGATTGATTGGTAGGTTGTATGGTTGATTGGTATATTGATTGATTGGTTGGTTGGTTTTGCAGCTAGTTGGTTGGTTGTTTGGTTTCATAACTAGTTGATTGATTAGTTGGTTGAATAATTTGGCTGATTGTTGGTGGGTTTCATAGCTGGCTGATTGATTGATTGACTTATTGGTTGGTTAACTGGTTTCTTAGCTTGTTTTTTGATTGATTGGTTGGCTGGTTGGTTGATAAATTAAGATTATTTTATCTACACAATCAAAGGTGATGAATTTATAACTTAAATATAATTTGTTTTTAAAGAAAATCAGCTGAGAAAGAGTTTCTATATTTAGAAAAACTTTACAAGAAGGGTTTTCCCGTGCCCCAGCCAATCAAAAACAACAGGCATGCTGTTGTTATGGAGTACATTCATGGAGAACCTTTGTATGTTTGTTGTTTTGTATGTTTGTTGTTTTGTATGTTTGTTGTTTTGTATGTTTGTTGTTTTGTATGTTTGTTGTTTTGTATGTTTGTTGTTTTGTATGTTTGTTGTTTTGTATGCTGGTTGTTTTGTATGTTTTTACGTTTTTGGTTTTGCGTTTGAATGGTTCTTTCATTGATTCATTCATTGCCTTGTTTAGTATACACTGACGGAGAACCTTTGTATGTTTTTCTGTTTGTATTGTATTGTATCTTTTGTATGTCGTTTGTATTTGTTGTATGTTGTTTGTTTGGTATCTTTCTGCTTTAAATTCTATGAATAGAAACTGAATGATTTTGTATTGTAAGTTTTATGTTCTGAGTGTGTTTTTTGTATGTTTTGTTTCATACAAACAAACATTCACACATATCGACACTTAACGGCGAAACGTGCACACATCTACATACACATTAAACACACACACAAACACTCTCTCTCTCTCTCTCTCTCTCTCTCTCTCTCTCTCTTTCTCTCTCTTTCTCTCTTTCTCTAGCACATCACACACACACACATACATACACTCACTCTCACAACATACGTACACACACTCACTTTCACATATATGCACACACTCACTCTCACTCACACACACACACACACAGATATAAGGTAAGGCGCAAAGAGCTTCGAAATCCTGGAAAACTCTACAGAGAGTGCATGGACCTGATTGTGCAGTTTGCCCATCTTGGCCTCATTCACGGCGACTTCAACGAGTTCAACCTTTTGCTAGTTAGGAAAATTAGGAAAAACGACGGTGAAGCTGACGACGATGATAAACTATCTCAAAGAAAAAAAATCGACGTTGATGACGTCGAGGAAAAAATTACCAAAGATACTAATATTACAAAAGATACAATTATTACCAAAGATACAAATACCACCAAAAATACAAATATTACCAATGATACAAAAACTCTAGTTGACATTGATAATAACGACGACGATGGTGATGATAGAACGATTGATGACGATAACAAAGATAATAAAATTGATTGTAGTGATAACAAAGATAATAAATTTGATAATAGCGATGATACAAATGATATAAAAGAGGGTAGTAGTAATAGTAGTTGTGGTGGTGGTGGTAACGTTAATGGCGACGGCAGCAGTATTTGTAGTAGAGATGTTAGTGGCTCCAAACAAGATGGAAAGATGGTAAAGAAGAAGAAAAAAATGATGGAGGACCGCGGAGAGGAAGAAAAAAGTGATGAGGATGAAGATGGTGATGGGGATTTGTTTTACTACGATGACTGGAAGCTGTACGTCTTTGATCTGCCTCAAGTCGTGTCAGTTAGGCACGAGAATGCTGAAGAGTGAGTTTTTCATTTTGTTTCTTTTTCATTTTGTTTTCTTTTTCATTTTGTTTTCTTTCTTTCTAGAAGAAATATTTTTTGAAAATTAATTGATAGAAATATTCCGTTGTGTGTTTCATCTTGGCATGTCTGCTTCGGTATATGTGGACGTGTGTACGTGCGTGTGTGCGTGCACACGAAGTGTAAATTAATATACATGTTTACACGCACATATATATATATATATATATATATATATATATATATATACATATATATATATATACACACACACATACATACTTACATACAAACACACAGATACTTCGATAGGGATGTTGATTGCATCCGGATATTCTTCAAGAAGAGATTCCATTACGAATGCGACGACTACCCTCAGTTCAAAGATGTTCTGGGAAAAAGGTCACCTGACCCCGATCACGTGAACGAAGATGATGATGACGTAGAGGATGACCATGATGATGATGCAGCTACGATACCTCTTGACGATTTGAGGCTTGAGAATGACGATGAAAATGATGATTGTTTGGATGTTGAATCGTGATTGGTTCAATTGTTATTTATTTTAAAGTGGCATGTTGTGATTGGTTTGGTTTGGTTATTTTTATAACTGAATAATGAAAAGAGGTGGTTATTGGGTTTTATTAGGTGGGGTTGTTAGATTGTCCATGTAAGTACTTGATTATAATTAGTATATAAATTATATATATATATTTTTTATATACACATGTATGGTTTTATAATTTTTTGGTTGCTATGCGCTAAGTTCATTATAAATTTCAACAATAAAGATTTGCACAGTAGCATCTTTCATTTTTGTTAGGTTCACTTTTAGTTATAAAACTCCTGGTCTCTTTTTTGATGACGTTTACTTTTGCCGACACGATCAATCGGTTGATGAATTAGGCATTAAGGATAAAATAAAATTTTATCAAGATAAGTTTTTAAATAAAAATGGAAAGTCTCTACAACGTGCCGTATTCGTTTTTAGAATGTCCTAATTTGAAACTGAAGAAACCAACATGGCTGCATACCCCGTCAGCTATGTTCGTTTTCTCGCTCGTTCTCGTGTCTTACTTCCTAGTTACTGGAGGTAAAATTACTAATTAGCACTGCCTAATCATTTCTACTAATACTAAACTAATCTTTACAATACCTAGTTTTACTTTTTTAAACCTTTTTAATAATTCATTTAATTTTAATTAATTAATCTTTGAATTTAAATTTTTTTTTATTTTAATTCACAAATTATTTAAATTGAGTATAATATTTTTACGAATTAGGCATCATATATGACGTCATTGTCGAGCCCCCAAGCATCGGATCTACGACAGATGAGAGGGGAAACAGCAAACCTGTTCGTTATTTTCTTTTTATTTTTAAATTTTAAAAAGTTTTATTTACACAGTTTTCTAGAATTAGATTATTTTATTTTTTAATCTTCTCTGGCAAAAGTTCATTTCTAGGACAAGCAACTAACCTAACTAACACTAACTCCAAATTTTGCCCACTAGGTGGCATTCATGCAGTACCGAGTAAACGGCCAGTATATTATGGAAGGTCTGGCCTCCAGCTTCCTTTTCTCCATGGGTGGTCTGGGGTTCATCATCCTGGACCAGACCAACAAACCGTCGACTCCCAGATTGAATAGAATTTTACTGCTCTCCATTGCATTCATCTGCATACTGGTGTCATTCTTCATGTGTCGCGTGTTTATGCGCATCAAACTACCGTCAGCGATTTTCAATTTTATTTATTTTTGAAAGTTTATTTTTTAATTAACTATATTAATTAAGAATGATTATAGCTAGTTATTTAAATGATTTGATACTTTTTATTAATTCACATTTTAATTTTTTTTAGGGGTTACATGAGTGGTTGAAAAAGAGAAAAAAAGGAAAAAGATTATAAATAATGATAAAAATGAAATTTTCGAAACAATTTGTAATAATAATATTAATAAAATATCATTAAATGTTGAAATAATAATTTTTATTATTGTAATTATTATTATTATCGTTGTCGTTGTTGATGGTGTCATTTTTCTTGTGGTTTTTCAAGTTAAGTTATTGACAGAAAAAAAAATTAAACAAAGCAAAGAAGAGGTTTCTTTACTTAGTTTTTACAAAATAACAAATAATAGTAATCATTTTCCTATGGTAAGTCTTCCCAACAATTACACATACATGAAGTATTAGAGAAGTAATAATGTGATGAAATTAAATGAAAAAAATTTTTTTTTCAATTGAACTAAAGCTAGTTAATTAATTCACAATTAGATCGTTTAATTGAATCAATTAAAGTGTTAATTTCGAGATGAATGTTTTAATTAATGATTAATCGGAATAGTTGAGTAAAATGTATGGAATGACGAAGTGAGTTGACGAAGCATACAATGAGAATTGTAGATAATATACACACAAATATATATACATATGTGTGTGTGTGTACGTGTGTGTGTGTGCGTGTTTAACATACAGCACAAACAAAAGCGCCAGAACACCCAAAATGATAAAAATAACCAAAAAAACTTTATACATTCTCATTCTCAAATTATTTACAATCTTTAGTAAGAATCGTTAACCATTAAAACGTAATTTTTAGTAATTACGTCATTACGACTGGGCTATGGCGTCATCGTATCTAGCGGGAAATGACGTCACTGTTGTCAATCTAAACGGCAACTGCGTCATTCAGCCGGACAGGAAGTAACGTCACGTTCTGACTTGAAATTTTCCCGCCTTCGTGACGTATTTGACGCCCTTGAACGGCTTGTACTTCTGAGTGTCACATTTGTTGTTGTTGTTGGTGTGTGTGCGTGCTATAGATTGGATGTGACTAAAACATGTAGAAAGGTTAAGAGTTCATTATTAATTATTATTTATTATTGTTAATATTTATTATCATTATTTATTACTATTCATTATTATGACTACATAATTAATATTTGGATAATAAATAATAACAATGAACCCACTTCCCCATACATGTCCAATCTATTGACTTTCAGACCAGAAACTGCCATCTGACTGATGCTAAACTGCACCTGATAAGAATAATAATAATAAAAGTTAATGAATAAGTGAATGAATGAATAAACGAATGAATGAATGAATGAGTGAATTAATTAATTAATAAGTAAATAAATGAAATTAATGAGTGAGCAAACGAAAGAATGAACGAAGAAACGAACGAATTAACGAATCAACAAACAAGCGAACGTATAACCAAGCAAACAACTTAATTAATGACTGAACAAACAACAAACGAACATACGAGCGAACGAACGAACAAACGAACAAACAAATGAATGAATCAAAAACTAACAGATATAGTTGGATTAGATTCTGGCAGAGGAGCACCGGCCTGCAGAATGATCTGAAAGAGAATAATAATAATAATAATAATAAAAGAGGAAAAATAATAATTATTATTATTGTTGTTGTTGTAACGCTAACATTTCCTTTGATGTTAGGCAGCTTACTAGGATCAATCTTGCCTACATCCCAAATTAAAACCTTCGAGACTGGATCGAATGTGTACTTGCCTGACGATGATGATGGCGATGATGATGACGATGAAGATGGCGATGATGATGACGATAAAGATGGCGATGATGATGATGGCGATGAAGTATGAATGAATGAAATGAAAAAAATCTAGACATGAATAAATGTAAAATGTAACGTAAAATGTAAATAAAAAACGAATGTTAACATTTTAGTCCAGGTCGAATGTATATTTACCGGTCAATCATTCATTCGTTTACTCATTCATTCATACATTCATTCGTGTATTCCTTCATTCATTCCATCAATCATGCATTCAACCATTCATCCATCCATTCATTCAATCATGCATTCATTCATTCATCCATCCATCCATTCAATCAATCATGCATTCAACCATTCATCCATCCATCCATCCATTCAATCAATCATGCATTCATTCATTCATTCATTCAACCTTGCGTTAGAGTGAGTGTGGCATTGAGGACCGACTTACTGAATGGTACCTCCAATACAACGTTCTCCACCTAAATTAATTTAATGACAAATTTTTTATTAATTACCTCCTCAATTAATTAATTGAGTAATTGTTTGATTGAAAAAACGAATGATTGATTGATTGATGTTTGAATAAATGAATGAATTGATGATTGATTAAACATCTGATTGTCGATAACTGAAAATTTTAATGATTGATTGATTGATTAATTGGTTAATTGATTGAACAATTGATTGATTGATTGATTGATTGATTGAATAAATATTATGACCATTCAAGAAACATCCAATCAAAAAACTAACTGCTAATTCCTTAATTGAAAGAATAAGAATTCACTAATTCATTACTTCCTTATTCTTTCTTTCATGCATCAATCTTTCCCTCTATCTATCTATCCATTCATTCATCTATCCCGCCATCCGTTCATTCGTTTATTAATTCACCCACCCATTCATGTATTCATCCAATAATTTTCATCAATGTTATCATTCATAGTCATGAATCAATCTTTCCGTCCGTCTATCCATCCATTTTTTCATCCATCCATCTATCCATCCACTCCTTCTTTCATTCACTCTGAAAACGAAACTAACGGTTTTCCCCATGGTTTGCTTCGGCCCGATGGTTATGTCCAGCCTGCCAGCCGAGCCTTCCTTCAGGCATATATTATGCTTAATGTATATCGGTATGGCCACCATGCTGTTGATTAATAATAATTACCATATGTTAATTAGCCTATGTTAATTAGCTGATGTTAATTACCATATGTTAATTACCATATGTTAATTAGCTGATGTTCATTAACGTATTTTAATTAGCACGCGCGTATTACACACACTCCAAACAGAAGCTCATGAATATTCAACAGTAATAAAAAATCTTTTGTTTTCATAATAGAGAGATTTGACAGTGTTTTGAATGAATGAATGAATGAGTAAGTGAATGAGTAAGTGAATGAGTAAGTGAATAAGTAAATGAATGAATGAATAAATGAATGAATGAAAGTATAAAAGGACGAAAGAATCAATGGATAAATGAACTTTTGAGATCCAATGTGGTAAGATATGAGTCTGAAGTTTCCGTCTGGTGGTACGAATGAGAGGATCTTTTCACTCTGAATGTAGGAAGAGTTGTTAAGTGTGCGTGAATGAATTAAAAATAAATCAATCAATCAATCAACCAACCAACATACTGAATCAACCAATCAAATCAATCAACTGACCAACACATCAGCACATTCAGACAGTCTACTAGCCAACCAAAAAATCAGTTAAACAATTAACCAAACAACCAAATCAATCAATCAGCGATCGATCAACCAATCACAAACCTCCGATCGATCAAACAATCACAAACCTCCCATCTCTTGAATCTTATGCAGGGATGGAAGCTGACGTCATCAAGAAGACGGGGATTGATAAAGGACAAGGTCAGATCTGGCATGCCGCTCAACTTTATCAGGCAGTCGATCTTGATAACGATTGTAATTGTGGTGACGATGACAACGATGACTGTGGTGACGATGACAACGATGACTGTGGTGATGATAACGATTGCGGTGATGAGGGCGATCCTGATAATGATCAACGAAAGAGGCGACCACCAAAGAACAACTAACATATCCCTGAATCTCGGCAAAGACAGTGGACCCGCTCTTGTCTATGATGACGTCAACCTCCTCTATGACGTCAAAGTAGGCCTCGTTGTTCGTGTACTTCACACCGGTTCGACGCCACGGAATGTTCGACAGCTGCCCAGTCGGTAACGTGTCACTCATGCTATAGGTGGGCGGAGTTAAAAGGAAGGATAACTCGCCAGTTATCTTTTATAATTATACTATAATTATTGTATAATATATTAAATATATTATATAATATATCAATCAATCAATCTTCGTTTAGCATTCAGAGACCCAGTTCCCTAAGGTAGGTAGGACATATTGATTGATTGATTGAATATATATATTATATAATATATTATATTATACATATTATATAATATTATATAATTATAATTAATTATATCGTAATTATTATATAATTATAATTAATTACAATTCGTTACGTTAATTTAAGCAAGGAGTTCATTATGGCATTATATGCGCCTCAAAAATAAACCAATTAATCAACCATTCAACCAATCAATCAACCAGTTAATCAGCCAACCAACTAATCAATCAGCACATCAACCATCCAGCCAACCAATCAATCAGCACATCAACCATCCAAAAAAACCAACCAACTAATGAACCAGTCAATCACGCAACCAACTTGGTGGACTTGCCAGTGACGGTATCAGAGATAGTCCTCAAGAAGTTAGGAGGCCTAATTAATTCTTTCAAGACGTTTGACTCTGTTGCTAATGGGAAACCGTTGTCCAGCATCTCATCCAGCAACTAGAGTTAAGATTAACGAGAAATTCTCTTGTGTACTTCATCTTCAACCAACCAAATCAATCAATTAACTGACCGATTTATACTGACCAATCAACTAATCAATCGGCATTCAATCATCAAATAACAAGCCCTCATACAAACCTTATAGATAATAACATATATTTGGCACGACAGATCAAATCACTCAATCAACTGACCAACCAATCAATCAACCGACCGACCAACTAATCAATCAACCAACCGACCAATCAATCAACCAGCCGACCGACCAATCAGCAAACCTCATAAACGATAACATAGTTATCTTTAACGATTGATTCAGTACAGTCGCCAAAATAGTCTTCAAATGTGGAGACCACCCTGTGCAAGAACTCAATGACAAATAGGGGAGGAACTGAAGTGGTGGGTTTATTAATTCTCATGTTTTGATTGGTTGATTCGAAAGTTTTGGTTAATTGTGATTGGTTGACATCGAATTGTTGCTTATGATTGGATAAATTAGTACAATAGTTAATTTTAATTTGTTAAAATGAATTGGTAGTTGTGATTGAATTAATTAATAGATTGGTTGATTATGATTGGTCAACTCACATCAAATGAACAATGATAAATGGTCAATGGTTAATTAAGACAGACAAATCAACTGATAGAATTATGATTGGTTGAAATGAATGATTGATAAAGTTGTAATTAATCGATTGACTGATTGATTGATTGACAAACCAACCAACCAACCTTCTGTTAGAACAACAGCAATGAAGTACATCTGGTTCTTATAAATATTAATGAGGTAGTGGTGGGGGGTGGCCAGGATTGGTGGGACATCTTCCGGTCCTGCTGCCTGATTGGTCGATATTTAAATAAATAAATAAATAAACAAATAAATAAATGAGAAATTGACCATAAATATAAACAACAAATAAATAAATAGTAAACAATAGATAAATTATTAAACTAGAAAAATTAATGAAAATAGTTTTTAAAAAAATTAGTAAAACATTAACAAGATTAGTGAAAAAGTAGAAAAATTTAGTAAGAAAAATAGAAATACCTTGCTCTGAGCCTCAAAGAAGTAGTCACATATGGACCTATGTATGACACTCTTCCAATGCTTCTCCAGGAACATGTCCCTAATTTCAAAAACACAATTTAGAAATTCTGAATAAACATTTTTAAATTAATTAATAATAAATTAAATGAAAACTTAATTATAACTTAATTAATTTAATTATTAAATAATAATTGTATTTTATACAAGTTAATAATTTTAATGACAAAAATAATAAATAGCTTCTTTAATTATTTATTTTAAAAGAAATATCAGTTAAATAAAAATTAAAAAAATGTAATTTTAAATAAAATAAAATTTAAATTAATTAATCAATTATTAAATTATTAAATTAATTAATTAATTGTAATTTATTAAAATTAAAATAGTTCTTGAAAATTTTTTTTATAGATTCTCTTAAATTTTATATTTTATAACTATTTATTTAAGATTTAATATCAGATTATTATATTATGTATTTTTTTAAATATTAAAATTTTTAATAAACAACAAATAAAATTATTAATTATATTATGTATTTTTTAAAATATTCAAATTTTTAATAAACAACAAATAAAATTATCAATTAATTATTAAAAAAAATAAATTGAAAAACATACCCGGAATTATTAACCAAGAACAAACTGTGAATCATATTGATAATTATACAATTAATAAAAAATAAACAACTGAAAAATGAATTGACCGGCAAAAAATAAGAGAACTTTGAACACGAAAACCAAAATTTAAAGATCAGAATGTAAACATTTTGTTTTAGTGTCGCCACTTTAGATCGATGTTCAACGTTTTCAAAACTAATTTTATTAAGGTTCGAAAAAAACCTACCACATTCTTTTTGAAATTAAACAAAATTATCTCGAAATTTTTTACATAAATAATTTTAAAATTTAAAAAAAAAAACTAGTATGGATTAGCAATTGAACTTTTTGTTCAACTCCATATATGTATCATCAAGGGGAGACCTATTTACCAGCATACAACTCTTTCTTATGGGTTGAAGCAGGGATATGCAAAGAACCTCAATTTTTTCAACTTTTAATTATGCTCCAAACCACATAACTAGAATAATAGGACTAATCGATCAATTCGATCTATCGGTCGGGCTATTTGTCGTGCTTGGATTGTTGGCTTACGAAATTGCATGGATTTTAACGAGGAAACAAAATGAAATATTTACTTGATTTAATATGCTTAAAACATTGTAGTAATTCTATTTAATTTTAATAATGATAAATAGAATTATGTATTATTAAATTATTTTTGTTAATTTGAATATAAAAATTGCTTTTGGTCCGGTGAAATCCGGTGGCTTACTGAAGCCGAAGGTTGGCTTAGTAGGATTGAACTATAGTCACCCTTTCTTTTACACTATTCGATCATGTTAAAAATTGGTTTGCTTATGAAATAAACGGCCTAAATAAATTAAAATTGTTATTGAACAACTATCTTCATTATATTCAATGAATATTTTACATTCTGCTGGTGCTCATAAGAAACTGGCTGCTGAAATCATACGTTGGCTTACGGCAGTGGCTTACAGGGTTTCATAGAACTCTTACGATAGCACTTTTTTGTACAAATAATGCTTTAAATAAATCAATATTTTTATATCACAATTATTTTTGTCAGTATAAATATAGAAATTGCTTTTGTCAGGTGAAAAACAGTGGCTTACTGAAGCCGTAGGTTGGCTTAATCGGATTTTTTCTCATGTATACAATAGGCTATGAGATAAATCAATCAATCAAACAATCAGTTGTTCGGTCAGCCAGCCAGCCAGTCTGTCAGTCAATCAATCAACCAATCGATCAATCAACCAATCAATCAACTAAATTGAATGAACCAAATAAACAAAAATAAAAACAAAAATAAATAAAAAAAATTTGCAAGGCCTGTTCAAACTCGAACAAACAGTTAACCGTACAGATCTACAAACAATTTTGAGATTTTAGTAAAGAAAGAAAAACACAGTAGATGCTTTTATTTGAATTCATTCAAAAATGAAAAGTGACGGTTAATTAAAATTTTAAAATGTCAATTTTTTTTTTAAATTCGTATTTTAAATAAACAAATATAACAAAATATCGACCGATAAAAATAATTATTATCCATTATTATTATTATCATACACACTCCTTAGAAGTTCTCGAAGGATAATAAACCGCGTAACATAAACATTTAGTAAGAACAGTTCACAACATATCATAATGACTAAATCAACATACTAAACAGAAATAATTTATACATGCATATATACAAAGTAAATCAAGAAATATCCAAAAATTATATAACCAATTTAAAAAAAACTAGAAACCAGTCAACATTTAATGAATAAATAAATAGACATTATTAAAAAGATTGTTCAAAAAGGTACAATTTAAGGCGACGACGAGAATGAAATGTAGTTTGTTTTTTTGGTGTGGTGTTGTGAAGCGAAAACAAACACATCACACACAAAACTAGTAAGAAGTCGCAAGAATAGTAGTCAGTCACCTACCTATAATAAAATTACTCTCAGGGCCCTAGCTTACTTAAAAACATTGACTCAACTCACTTACCTACAAATTTGTATTTCTCGTTTTAGATGTTTCAAGTATTTTATTTAACATATTTTAGCGTTTTTATTTTACTTGAAGCTTTTTAACTAATGTTAAGCCCTAGCCTACCTACAAATGTTTAACTCATCTCAGTCCCTAACTTACCTATGAA